CCGGAGAACCTAAGCGGACAACACTTCGGGCTCGACGTGAACGAGATGTTGGCGGCCGGGGGTATCCGTAGCGGCACCGGTGGGTCGCAAGTGGTGAACGCCGGCGACCGGTTCGCCGTACGACTCGACTGTCAACACTTCACGCCGGAAGAGATTACCGTCAAAGTGGTCGACCATCAGCTCGTCATTCACGGCAAGCACGAGGAGCGCACCGACAGTCACGGATGGGTTCAACGAGAATTTACGCGCCGGTATGTAGGGAGAGGGGGGGACAGGGAGTGGGAGTTTATTAAGTTACCTATCTATCTACCCACTGATTAACTTATTGGATATATACTTATAATATATACTGTAGGTATGTATTGCCCGATGGTTGCGAACCCGAAAAAGTGGTGTCCAGTTTGGATGCGAAGGGCATACTGTCCATAGAGGCGCCCAAAAAGGCTTTGCCCCCACCGGACAACAACGAGCGTGTTGTTCCCATTGCTATTAAAAAATGAACATGATCATGTTGACCTCGAGCAGAGTGATACTTGACAGGCAAAGTTATTATTTTATCATATTTATTAATTACAGTACATAATAAAAATTGTATTTATGGTACAGTATATCAATATATAAATTATGTTTTTTCTAAATTAGTGCTTACAGTTAGTATAATAATTACTTTGAATTAATTTTAATTAACCTCGAAAATTTATATTTCAGATAATATGATAGACTATATTATAAAGTTTGAAAATAAAATATTTAATTTTTTGTTATTTATAATAAATTATATATTTACTCGAATACTATAATAATATTTATCATTTAATTTATCAATTATAAATTAACGTTTAATACAATAATTTTTATTATGCATGTTTATATAAACTTAATGTTAATGTATTTGTTATTTAATAACACTATTTTGATGTTTTCCTATGTAGTGCTTCATATTATGTAATACTGTGGTATGATAACAGTAAACAGGAAAATAAAATAATCCAAAAATAGATATGTCCTTGAATAGATTTGATTTGTCTAGAATTTTATATTCTATAAATATATATACGGTAAGTTGCAATTTTAATATTTTCAAATGAGAAATTAGAGTTTAAATTAATTTATTTGGAAACTCAACAATGTTAAATTTTAAAACTTGAATTTTAATTAGTATTGATAAACTAATAGCTAATTAATAAATCAATACTGTGTGAAAATAAATGTACCGATATTTTGGAGTAAAATTTATTGCGTTAACTTCCAAAACAATAATTTAGATAAATAATCAAGCAACAAGTATTTTTAATTAAAGTCACGATACAATCTAAATCAAATATATTTACCGTAACATTAATTATGGTGCCCTTCACCTTAATGATATAACTAGTATATGCATATGAGGTATAACATGCAATATATAGTAATACAATGGAATATCAGGCATTAAATGCCTATGAGATAATCCTACTTGCTGCTATTAACAATAGGTGTGTCCAGTTCAAGAAGCGCCTCCTTATTCACCACAATAACCGGCAGATTTACGTGCAAGTCGTGAGCGTACGGTATATCGAGGGTCACGTGTATCAGGTATTTAACGCTTACGATCCAACTCCTGATGGACAGG